GGAGGCGGGCGGGCCCGCAGGAAGCCTCCCGCGGCCGGGCCGCGCGAGAAGGCCGAGACGCGGTGCCGCGGCCCCTCCCCGTCCGGTCAGGGCACCTACCTCCTCGCAACCGCGGCGCTCGGATAAAGCGGTCCGGCCGGTTCAGATCGTCTCTCTCGGATCGCGGCGCCTGACTGACCCGGATCCAAACCCGCAGCAGGGGCGGCCCGCGCCTCTGGAGTTGCACTGCGCCTGCGTCACTCGGGCACGTGCCCCGCCCCCCGCTCAGGCTCCTCCCGCCCCAGTGACTCGGCTGCGCGGCGGGCGGCGGCTGCGCCGGCGCGGAGCGATGGCCGCGCCTCCTCAACACCCCGCCCCCGCCCCCCCAGAAAGCACGTGCACCTTACGTCATTTCCTGTTATTCTTTTCTCTCCCTCCTCCGGCTGGCGTGGCTTCTCTGCGGACCCGCTGTTGGGGCATGCCTGCTTCCTCCTGTCTGGTGAGTGAGTTATTCTTCGCAGTTGCCAACTGTCTCCTTCCCCGAGGTCTCCTGTGCCTAGTCCCCTATCTGGCGTTACTAGGCGACGGAACTCCGCGGGGTTGAGGACAGGGTCTGAGCGCTTGGCCGGAGTCTCCTGGATGCTGGAATCTGGACCGCCTGCGACATTTCCTAGGGTCGGACGCCAGCCCTTGCCTCCTGGGATCTTTCGGGGCCTGCAGAGAAGCACGGAGGTGTTGGACATGGCCGGGGCCAAGATTGTGAGACTGGAATTGAAATTGAGTTGAAATACCTTCGCTTTTGATATCCCTGTCGTTTGGCTTGGGGCAACTGCTTTTCTCTCTCTGGGCCTCAGTTTCTTTACCTAGTAAGTAAGGAAGTTGGAGTGTATCCGCGAATTTCGTTTTTTCAGGCGTCAACTCCTTTGAGAATCTGGTGAGTGCTGTAGACATGCAGCTGCATACCAGATTTTGCAAAAATATTTAGGCAGTTCACCTAAGTAGATGATATTGAAGGATCTCTACATTTTTATGATTCTGGACGTTGTTCAGATGGCAGGCAGGAAAGCGTGATCTGTGCAACAGCTGCCACCTCCATCACCAGGACTGGTTCTGCTGATCTAGCTACCTCTCCTGGCCTGCCACTCCCCAACTCCATGCTTGCACCTCTCAGAGCTTCGTAGGAACAGATGACTTTCCTCCATAGAGTTGGCTAGCGTTGGTTCTGGCACACCCCTAGAATGAGGGTTTTTCCCTGAACCGAAACTGGCCCCTCGCACCCCCATTCCAATACCTTAGGGATAGTCAACTAACTAGATAGGCCGCCGAAGATAGTTTAGCTAGGTCCAGCTTAACCACAGCCAGACCTTGGAATGCCTGGCCCATGTTTGGGTAAAACATTTTCTCCTCGTTCATACCAGAGGCTCGATGACTGACGGGATGAAAGAAACTGTCCTGAAGATGCTAATAATAATGGCTGCCCTCTACTGAGCAGCAGTTTTGTACATACTCTCTCATTTCCTGTAATTTTATGCATTCTACAGATGAGGATGACTAGGTCTCAGATCAGATAACTTGTTCTAGTTCCTCTTGGACTGTGTCACACATTGCTAGTAAGCCAGGATTTAAACCATCTCAAAAGCCCATTCATCCATGGCTGCCCTTCTCAACATTTCTTGGAAAAAAAATAAGAAAGGAAATATCCATTTTTTTCCCTCAGACCTTGCAAAGTGAATTGTATCAAGACCAAATATGTTTTTAGACTGCCATTTCAAAACACAGCTTCAAATAAAATATCGTCCATTCTTGGGGGCAAGATTGCCTAGACCATTATCGAATTCCCAGAGTTTAGAGCAGTTCCTGAGAGTTAGTAGATGCTCAATACATTTTGAATTCCCATTTTGCCTAACTACAAAGTTAATGTTTCATTTTATGGAAGCATATCTCCATCATAAAGCTCAATGCTATCTTAAAATGTAACTCATTACTCAGGGAGTACTTGGAAGATGAGAGCCTCTTGAGAATACTGATGTCTGATGTCTGTTACACACCTGATGTGGCCTCAAGTTTCAAGTTGTTATATATAGAACTGGCTCACTGTGTGGTACATCGTGACTTGGAGTGAGATAGAAAAGCTACAAAACATGTGATCTGAGTGAACAAAAAACCAGATCAATCTCCTGTACCAGCAGCACAGTCTTTTTAGTCATGGAAAAAAACCCTGAACTTAAATGTGGACTTTATATTCAGGAAATCAACTTGGTATTAACTTAATGCATGTGGTAATGACGTTTAATTAAAAAGCTATGGTAGTTGTAAAATTCCTTTAACAGTGTTTCTGTCTTGTTACTATTGTTTTATAAGTGGTTGAATAGGGGAGACATAATTCCATCAATTTATACAACAAAAACGATCCATCTGCACAGGAGGATAACTTTTCATTTTAAAAGATAACTTTGGAGAAAACAAGTTCGAAGTCTTTTAAAATTTTATTTCCCTAATGATGTGGCTGCCATCCTACTAATTGGTAGTCTGGGAAAGTATTCTTTTCCTATGTTTTTAAAGTCCAAATAAATTAATGTATTTTTTGATATAATTTTTAAAATGATTTTGGGGTACAAGACAGTGATAATGATAATTTGTGCTTGATTTACAATTGTTATCAAATGTTATCTCATCTAATCTTCATAACTAACTTGTGAAGCAGGTACTTTATTTATTTTGAATAAGAGTTTCTCTGTGTTTCCCAGGCTGGAGTTCAGTGGCACAATCACTGCTTACCATAGCCTCAACCTCCTGGGCTCAGGTGATCCTTCCACTTCACACTCGGGAGTCGCTGAGACAACAGGGGCACACCACCACACCGACTAATTTTATTTTTCTGTCTTTTTTTTTTTTTAGAGTCAAGGTCTCGCTATGTTGCCTGGGCTCAAGCAATCCGCCTTGGTTTTCCATAGTGCTGGTGTCACAGGTGTAAGCCACTGCGCCTGGCCTAACACTGGTTCTTTTATTATGTCCATATTATAACTGAAGAAGCTAAGGCTCAGAATAGTTAGATACGTCGTCCAAAGTTATGCAGCTTGTTAGTACAGAACAGGGATTCCAAGCTAGGCACTCTGATTCTGCTCCACCTCCTGATAGCTGAGTGACATTGCTTTTCTCAGCCTCCCTGCCCTGACCTCGCATACACACCCAGTAGACCACAGCTACCTGCTTTCACCTGGGAAATGCTCAAGGCCTGTGACTGTCCAGCTACATTTGCTTTGCATATCTTTGCGCACACCAGGCCTATTTCCCTCTCAGGTTTTGTGTATTTGACGTTTCCTCTGCAGGAACATTGTTGGCCCACAACTCATCTTTTCATTCAAGTTCCTGTCTTGTCCATTCCCAAGAGGAACTTCCTTGGCTACCCCAGCACACACCTCACTCCATGTCCCTTCATCCTGCTTCAGTTTTTGTTAGCACGCTTACCACTACTTGAGAATGTGCAAGGTCTTACAATTAAGTTCGTGAACTCATCCTTGGAAAAGTACTACCTACCTCATTGCTGAATACAACTATGGTCACCTTGTACATACTCCCCTTCGGAAGCTATGCACCAATGCCAGCACCTAGTCTGCCTGTCAAAGCAATTTTGGAACTATTTTTCTTGAATGGCCATCAGAGCTGTAGTTGTATTACCCTTGATGTCCTGAATGTCATCAAAATGTCTTCCTTTCAGTATTTCCTTTATCTTTGAGTAAAGAAAAAAGTCACTGGGGGCCAGATCAGGTGAGTAGGGATGGTGTTCCAATACAGTTATTTGTTCACTGGCTAAAAACTCCCTCACAGACAGTGCTGTGTGAGCTGGTACATTGTCGTGATGCAAGAGCTCCTTCAGGACCATTTTTGCACACATCTTTCTTATGCCAAGATTTTCAGTTAAATTTGGCTAACTTTCTCTGTCAATGTTTATTTGCTCTGCTATGCTTTTCACAGCCAGCTGATAATTTTGACACCTAAGTCAACAAATTTTTGCAATGTTTTTGTCAGTTTTATTGGTTACTAGCCATCCTAATCGCTCTTCATCAGTGACCTTTTCTCTCCCCTCAGAAACATGTTTAATCCATTTGTACACTGCCGTTTTCTTCATGGCATTATCCAATAAACTTGGACTAATATGCTCCTGATTTCACTCCACTCTTGCCAAGTTTAACAAGAAATGTAATGTTTGTTCGTTGCTCTAATTCAAGCTCCAACATTCTCACAACAGCACACCAAAACAGGCAACAACAATAATGAATATCCCTCAGCAAGACACTGCCATACATCAAGATGAGCACAGCTGTGAAACACTGATATACCAAGGTTATGAAACCTTACCAAGTTGTTTGTACAGTGCTGCCAACATAAGCACACAGTGGCAAGTTCGCAGACTTAATTGTCAGACCCTGTATATTTTTTATTTGGTCCCCTCACTAGAATAGAAGTCATCTGAGGACACGGACATTGTCTCTTTATCACTGCCTTTTAAATTGACTCTAAATGCACATTTGCCCACAATTTAGCACAACTAAAAATCCAGATGCATCTTATATTTGGTAGCGTGTTCTGGTTTAATTGGTAGTATTTTTTTTCTTTCTTTTTTTTTTTTTTTTTGAGGTGAAGTCTCACTCCGTCGTCCAGGTTGGAGTGCAGTGGCATCGGCCTGCTGGGCTCTGGCAATCCTTCTGCCTCAACCTTCCAAGTAGCCAAAACTTCAGGTGTGAGCTACCATGCCAGCTCATTTTTTATTTATTATTGAGATGAGGTCTTGGCAAATTGCTGGGGCTGGTCTTGACCCTGTGGGCTCAGGCAATCCATTTACCTCGGCCTCCCAAAGTGCTGGGATTACAGGCTGAGCCACCGAGCCCAGCTTCTTTCTTAACTGTACCTACAATAAATGGAGAATATAAAATGACACTGTCTTAGAGTTGATTAAAATATAGTGTAAGGCAGGGCACAGTGGCTCACACCTGTGATCCCAGCACTTTGGGAGGCAGGGGCAAGAGGATTGCCTGAGCCCCAGGGTTCAAGATGAGTCTGGGCAACTTCATGAGACCTTGCCTCTACAATAAATTAAAAAATGAGCTGGGCATAGTGGCACCACCTGTAGTTCCAGCTACTTGGAAGGATGAGGTGGAAGGATCACCGGAGCCCCGGAGGTCAAGGCTGTGGTGGCCGTGAGTGTGCCACTGCACTCCAGCCTGGGTGACAAGAATGAGACTCTGACTCAAAAAAAAAAGAAAAGCAAAGAAAATATATTGTATCCTCAGGGTCTACATTGTGTGGCTTATA